AGCCGCAAGCGGCGGAAGCCGGTGCAGAAAACGTGAGTGTCCCAGCGCGCGCTCGGTGCGGGGTCTGGGCGCGCGGACCCAGGTGCGGGCCCCGCCGGGCCGCGGGAGGCGCCCCAGCCCGCGCCGCCCGCAGCCCTGGAGTCCGGGGGATGCGCTCCATTCCCCCAGGAAGGACCCTGGGAAAGCAAGATTTTGGAGGCCAAGGTTTTGAATTTTCCGTGTTCGATCCCACCAAAAACATTGGTCTCGGTCGACCAGCTCCCACTCCCAAATCCCTGTCACCTGTGCACACGCACAGGTGCCTTGCACAACTCTTGTTTTCTTTTCGGTGGCTCTCATTTGTGGACCGTTTGGGCCTGCCCATTAGGGCTGGTGGATTGGGCAACGCGAGCGGGTCTTGAAATGCCCTTCCACTTTTAATATCCCCCCGGGATAGGTTCGAGGACCACCTTCGAGCTGGCCCTGGGAGACCAGGAGCTGTGTAGGGCGAAAGGTTGTGAAAAGCCTAGCACATGCGGTCTTGAAATAAGGGGTTGACTCCCACTGTAGGTAACTTTTGATTGACAGCAACTGTTTTTGTTGTTGCTCCTGATTTACTTACTTAGCATTAATACTGTCGTGTTCGGTGTGTTCAGGATGGGTAGTGTGTAGCGATGGTAGCAGGTGTGAGCGACTAGGGAGCATTGCTAGTGGGGGCATTTGTATTCCCTGTCACCGTTTGGGGAAGCAGTCCCAGTATTTTTTTTTGAGGGGGGGGTGTGTGTTGAGATTTGGAACTGGATTTATTGAAGGAGATGTTTCCACTTTTAGCATCTTCCGCTTTCTCTTCTTCCCTACTTCAAAAATTTGTCAGTTATAGGTGAATGATTTCCAATTTTCATTTTGTTTAGGATAGGTATTTGTATGAGTTGACAAATACGTTTAAGTAACAACTTTTTCCAGGATTACAAAAAAAATACTTGAAACAAGTTTCCTTTGTGATTTGGCTTCATGTGTTTATGGATAAGTTTGAGCTCTGAATTACTTTAAAATAATCAACATATTTCAGATTTTTTTAAACAATTACAAGCATATTAAACATCTACTCAGGGCAAGTCAGCAATTTGGCTTAAAATATCATTAATATAAAGCCCCAACAGCCCCAGAAAAAACACTTTTAACATTTTTGTTTTTTAAATTGTTGATTGAAAAGTTGCTTTACTCTAGAGTTTTAATTTCCACATAGATTTTCAGTGATCATAGTTTCTCGAGTCTAAGCTTAGGAATTGGTATTTACAAAGGATATTAGCTCTTTCCATAAATCTAAGTAGGCTTTAAAAAACTCGGGGGGAAATCCCATTATCTTGCAATCCCATTTTTTCCACGATTTTTGGGAAGTCCTTTTATACTGGTAGACTGATTAAAATTAGAAAATCTAACCTAAAGTATATCTAACATTAAGAATAATGCCTGGTCAGCAGTTTTTTGTCTTGGCACTTCTATGAATTGATTTATAATACTTGACATTTTGTAGTATAGTTTTTTGTTTTGTGTGTGAGTGTGAGTGTGTGTGTGTGTGTGTGTGTGTATAGAGAGAGAGAGAGAGAGAGATTTGTCTACTTTGACCTTGCCATGGATAGTTAAAATTGGTAGACATCAAAAATGCTTTTTTCTTCATAGTTCCTAATACAATAGAACACAGCGTAATGTAATGAAGGTATGGTTTTGTGGTTTTGTTTGCGTGATCTGCACAGCTGACCATCTGTTTCATTGATGAACTTTCATTGATGCTGAACTTTAACCGGTGTGTTACAAAAGGACTTGGGTAGCTTTTTAATTAAAAGCCTTACTTTGTACTCATTAAAAAATCTCAAACTTTTGGTTTCATAAACACACTGGTGATTGTAAAAAAGGGTGAAAAAACTAGAATACAGTAGTATATTTCTAATATATCTACAACAAGGCAGGAATGGTTGGCAGACATACTTGGAAGAGGAGAGTTATTTAGGGCAAAGGAATGGTGATGTTTTCTTAATGATACCATATTCCTCCTTTATAGAAAATGTACCTTTTTGTCATCTTATATTTTATTGTACTTCCAAGGACTTTAATTTATGTACATTATTTAACATGCATTGCTTCTGATTATATAAATACCATAAAGTGACACCAAATTGTTCTTTAAGAAAAAACCAGTGCTGGCATTTTTCATAAAACATTTGGGTGAAGGGAGACGTCGGACAGTGTAAGACATGACAAAATAATAATTTATAAATTATCAAGGGTTCATGAGGGAGGTGAAAACATGAGTAGCTGACACCAAGGGTTCAAGTAGAAAGAAAATGTTTTGAGAATGATGATGGCAACAAATGTACAGATGTGCTTGACACAATGGTTGGATGTGTAGATTGTGATAAGAGTTGTACGAGCACCCAATAAAATGATTTTAAAAAGAAAAAAATTTATATTTGAATAAAAGATAGTTAATAGAGTTAATCAATATAAATGTTAATCTTATACCTGAAGTAATTAAATATGACTTAATTTTAAATTAGTGTTAAGTTAAATTGCTAGTTTGTGGGTAATGGGGCCCAAAATATACCAGCATTCTCATGGGAAAATTCCTCATGATAGAACTAACAATGTTGTGCAGATCTGTTTAACTTTGATCCTTAAATGATAGTTTTTATTTTACTTACAGAGGAAACACATTGTAGCATAACTTAAAGCTGTTGAAAAGACAGCATTTAAATAGACAATTCTATTACAATTTGAAATAAAGTGGGTGACATGATTTTAACCCGAAGGTTTTTCCATCAACTGAATTTATTAAACAAAGCAAACTCCCTCTAGTGGTACATCTGACTTTGAGAGTACTCTTTATTAATAGGAAATAAAATTTAAAGGTTAATTTAATTCTACTAAAATATCTTATACATTAAAACAAAAGCAAAAATACAAACCTGCTAGTGAGTTGATTCTGCCACCTAGGAACCTTGTAAAGGATCTTCAAGACTAAATTTTTATGAGAACAGAGAGCCTCATTTTTCTCCCAAGAAAAAGCTGGTGGCTTTGAACTGCTGACCTTGTTGGTTAGCAGCCCAGGCATAGTACACAGAGCCACTAGAGCTGCCTATCTCACACATAGTAAATACAATAGGAATATTTTCTTTCTCATCGAATAATGAAATCAGAGACTTAAAAGCTCTCAAGCAACTTTTCTAAAACATCTGATCCACGTTCCTGCCTTCATGAAGAAATGTTCAGAGATAACCTCAAGACTACTAGGAGTGTTGTTCCAGTGCTTAATAACCCTGCTCAAAAAAGAACAAATACTTTAATTTGAACTCTATTCTTGTATTCTCCTTAAAGACGATAGCCTTATTGATTTGTTTAATTATGTTGATTCATGACAGTAGTTGAAAAGCCACTATTAACTTTATATTTTTGTAATTTTCTATCAAGGTTCTATCAATATGAAAGAAATTTTAGGGGACCATCATACAACCATAATCTGGAGCATTACTAAGTGTTAGCAAGTAATAGATTTTCAGGAAATGAAAATTCCTAAAAGTTGCCATATGCATTTATAAATATCAGTAGTAGTGGTTATCAAAAAAGTTGTTATAAGGTATTAGAACTGGAAAAAATATTAACTTTAATATCTTTTTAAATTCTTGGTCTTCCCTGAGTTCCTGCTGAGAACTGTTTAGATGTCATGAACCTCATTTATTGCTCATTTAGTAGAATAAATTATTTAATGTTTTATTGGAAAATGTTTTGCGTAAAATAGTATGTATTTTTTTGAAAGTATCTAAATAAAAGGATAGGTTTTTAAAGTTATGTAATTATTATCCCACCATCATAATTTCCTTACAGATAGCTGACTTGTACATAGTGGATATGGATGCTCCTCCACATTGGAACTGTGAAATGAAAATCAAGTCAATGAGTGTTCTTTCATGATAGTAAAATTTATAAAACATAGTAACTCAAAGAGGAAACAGGTATTAGCTGAAAGAATGCTGCACTTGATCTAGATAGAAGATGAGATCTAGCCTCCTCACTCTGGCAGATATGGGCAAGTTCCGCAATAAAGGAGAATGGCCCACATCTACGCTGTGAATTTCACAAAGCTGACCCACAGCTGTGAAGACTGCAAGAGGGGAAAATTTTAAAGGAAACAAATTATCAAACCCAACCAATTTTTCTGTGCAACTGTATGTGATTATGTTCTCAATTGAGAGTACAGCCAAAATAGGGTGAATAAACCTAACATAGTACTTGTTTACTGAGGTACTTGGTTAAAAGAGTGACTTAACAGATACCATGCAATTCTAAACTTAACAGCAAAATCTTTGTAAAGATTGAGTCAGATTGCCCAACAAAACTGTACCAACGTGTACATTGGTACACTCTGCGTATGCCCTTGAGTTTTTGCTTAAAAGTATTAATTGCCCATTTGATAAACAAGAAAGGGAGACAGAAGAAGTAGCTAGTTACACTTAGGAAGGGTGTGTGTGTGTGTATTCAGCAAGTAGCCTGGCAGTGTGTGCTTGCAGATGTTTGTCATCTGAGTGACCTACACACATTGATTTGCTTTGTTTTACTTATTTCAGTTTTTTTTCTTTTTTGACCAATGTGGTTTAAAAGTGTATTTCTATTAAATAATACACATTTTAAAATGTTATGGTTTACAGAACAACTCACAGTAACAGAAGAAACCTTTCTCAGTCAATTATTTTTCCCTTTACTAGTATATATCCTGATGAAAGTGATATGAACAAGCTAGGAATTACTTATTGAAGTCCTGTTGTGGTAGTTAAACATTTTATCTTTCATTTTCCTTCTACTTCTCTTCACCCTCCCAACCTAATTTTATCATTATTTGTATTAAATTGACATTTAGTGTTCCATTATTCTTGACTATGTAAATTTTGCTTACTGGTAAAATTACATTATGATTCCTTTCTTTTTGATCCTAAGTCGCGAATTTCTTTCCCATATACTTAGCATTTTCAATTTGGTTGTTGTCATAGGTTTGTTGTTGTTG